GTTAGATTACAGATCTATCCCAACAGATCACGTAACTGTTTTTTTTTGTCCACCTACTTGCTGCCGAATACCCTTTTCTATGGCTAATGTGTTGAACATTGGCAAGGGTATGAAAGTGGTTTCCTGACCAGAAAATTGACTATATAAAATAAGAGGGCTGTTGTTGCTCGACTATGAGATACCGCGCCATCTGCTGGTACACACATTCTAGCTTCTTTCTCAGCATGCCGATAAATTATTGTTTACACACACAAGGCTGAAATATGGCGTATAAACGTGTGTATATACCGAAGCGCAAGACTCTACCATTTGAACTAAAATATATAGACAAATCTTTGGCTCGAAATCATTATTAATCGAAATTACGAAAAATTATGATATAGGAGAATATAAATTTTAAATCCGAAACTTTCCGGCCGAAAATGCTTTCTTTCTGCCCGCCTTACATACATTTGCACAAAATCAATATACCCTTTGACCCATTTTCAATGGGTTCAGCGTATAAGAAGCTAAATTAAGATAAGCATATAAAGTTAAAGCGATAAATACTTATTTTAAGTGGATCGAATCGGGAATAATAGTTGCTATAAAATAGACGAAGTTGCACAAATGTGGTTCAGTTAAGTAAAGTTTTTGGAGTTGGCTGGGCTACTATTTAACTGGAGGTTAATTTCGGTAACAACGACTCAATTTAAAGGATTTTTATTTTAAAATACTTAAACAAACATATAAACGTATAGATAGACGTAGCTCTGCACCATTGAATGTTAGGTATCATTGGAATAATAAGATGTCTCGACGAGTTGCCCTTCTTATATGGATATGCGTGCATGCAACGCTTGCACTTGATGATCCCATTACAGTAGATGCTGACCTTAATACGGTAAGTTAAATATACTTTCAGAAACGAATTTAAATATTATACTTCGACTATTCATATCTAATACTATTTAAAAAGAAATACAATCAAGATTACAAGTAAAGATGTTTATAATTTTCTATTGTTGAAGAGAAAGATATCTTATAGTCGACTTATGCATATATTTATACGAGAAAACAAAGACATAAATAGAATCAAATTATCCATAAAACAAACTATTAATCAAAATGTACTACTTGCAGTTGGAGCTACTTGAAAAGTACGGGTATCCAGCCGAAAATCATACGGTCCAGACTGAAGATGGTTATTTTTTGAATATACATCGAATTCCAAGACCCAACGCAAAGCCTGTTTTGCTAATGCATGGTCTATTGGATAGCTCTGCCACGTGGGTGATAATGGGACCCGAAAAGGGACTTGGTACGCAAAATGAATCAATAAGACTGTTAATTTTCAACTATAATCTCCCATTCTCCCTTCAAGGTTACTGGCTCTACGACCAGGGCTACGATGTGTGGATGGGCAATGTGCGTGGCAACATCTATTGTAGGAAACACTCCAGTTACACGCCCGACGAGGACGAGTTTTGGGATTTCTCATTTCACGAAATAGGCATCTTTGATTTACCTAAAATCATTGATCATGTACTCGAACAAACGGACTCTACGCAACTTCACTACATTGGACACTCACAGGGCACCACCTCCTTCTGGATAATGGGTAGTGAGCATCCCGAGTATATGGAAAAAATACAGTTTATGCAGGCCTTGGCTCCGGTTGCGTTTTTTAAGGATTGCAAGAGTCCTCCCTTGAATTTCTTGGGTGCAACCCAAATATCATCAACTGTAAGTTATCTTCTGTGCTTACCATTTTATGTTTTGTCTAGAGTTAAGATCAATGATCCGTCTTCCAGCTTTTACTGCAGATGCTGGGCGCAAATGAATTCCTACCGCAGAACGAATTTATAGAAACGGTCAGTGCTGCGGTTTGCGATGGGACGGACTTTGGCGCTAGGCTCTGCTCGAATACTCTCTTCCTCTTCACGGGCTTCGACCAGGAGCAGCTGAATGAGACCATGTTACCGACGATCCTAGGACATGCTCCCGCTGGAGCCTCGACCAAGCAAATTCTGCACTTTGGCCAGATGAAATCACTGAACGACTTCCGCAAATACGACTATGGCCTATTTGAGAATCAATTGCGATACAAAACCTTTCTTCCCCCCAAATATAAGCTGGAAAATGTGAATGCCAAGGTGGCCTTATATTACGGCCTAAACGATTGGCTGGCGCAGCCCGGAGACGTGACAACGCTTTACTTTAAATTGCCAAATGTGCAATTTAAATATCTGGTGGACTATCCGAAGTTTAATCATCTGGATTTCATGTGGGGCATTGATGCACGGGAGCTGCTCTACAATCGCATGCTTGAGAGTATGCGTTATTATGAGAACGAGCAAGAGATCAACTTGTAAAAAGTTTATAAATAATTTGGCGAAATTAAAACTGGGTATAGTCATACGTTCCCAACATCTGGCAACAAAAACCTTTAAATTATAAATAGGCAAGGTATAAAACAAATTTCTTCTCTACTTGAACATTGTGTAAATATGTTTGTTAATGTATAGAATGAAAATTGTAGCTGTTAGTATTATATTTAGGATAAGCTGTGTTTAAAATGGTTTCTCAATAAAAATGTGGTACTTTTGTGAATATTATACTAGAAGCTAGATAACCGCACAACGAAGCAATACCCGTGGTATCTAAAGAGCTACCACGGTTGGTATCTACGAAATAGAGGCATCGAGATTTTGTATATTTAGGATTAAATTTAAATTAAAAGCGGACATCATTTTTGTATATTTCATATTGATCGCAATAATAAAGCTAATTGACGGCATATCTCTCACAGAAAATCTCGTATACTTTTTATTTAAATGGAAAAAATATTTAAAGCTGTACGCATATACATGTTTGTAAGTATGTATGCATATATACATAAATATATAAAAAAAAAAACGTATTCTTAACTAATTCCCTTTAACGCGATTCTCATAAATTCAAGTAATTCTCATAGGCTTTACCTCAATAGGTGAAGGGGGAGGAGACGGCGGCATGGAGGAGACGGGGCCTTAACTTTCTTAGATTAGCCTCCTCCTGAGGCTGCAGCTTGGGCAAAGGAGGAGGCAACGGCTTTAATATTTGAGGACTTAACTATAGAGTAGTTGATGTTTTCAATATTGGATGAAACGGTGGCCTTGGTGGAGGAGGCGGTGTTAATTCAAGAGGACAAGCCAGCTGCGCCTTTAAGCATACAAACATTATCACTGCTTTAAGCTAATTAAATGGATGGAAGAGGAGACTGACAAGGGCTGGTGCAGCTCAATATGCTATAAAAATATTTGATTTCAATTAAAATAAATAATTTTTTTATAAAAGATAGTTATCTACGTCTCAATTGGGGCATTCATGGACGCGGAGAGCTCTTCTCATGAAGAGGATAAGGAATACAAATTATAAAAGCCTTGAGAATAAAGTCAGTAATAAATATAATTGAAAATATAAAATTTAAACATCATATATGTGTCTGCCAGACGAACTCTTCAGACTCGAGAGACTTAGCAGTTGTCTGTGAAAAGGTATGTTCATTTTTCCAAGACCATCTCATACAAAAATAAATTTTGTTTATTTCTACGGTTTAGAGCAGTTTAAAGCTAGCATTATGTTAAGTATTAAAGTTTTAGTGCAAATGATTAATATATGCAAAACAATACTTATTTGAATGGTAGCTAATGCAATTGGCATGCAATTATATGCTTTGGTAGCAGTAGCAAAAATCTAACTAATTCTCACTTAAGGTATATTATAATACTAGAGTTTATGAAGTCGCTCTCTGATCTTCGCTTTATTACCCAAATATATGACATGACACAAACATTAATACAAAACGATAACATTTTTAGCCTTATATAACATTTATATCTCTAATTTATCAAACTCTATTGATTTGTCACTGTATCACGTACTTCTATGGCATATATTCGTATTTAAATAAATCGTTAACATAGCTTGCAAGGGTATTTCATATTTTTTTCACTCACCAAATTGTCTGTCGTTGTATTGCTAACAACAATGTTCACAATATGATGTCCCAAGACGAATATTTGCAGTAGAGATCGGCACATTGATTTTTACTTCTATTACTAACTTTTACACATTTGAGGAAATTAAAATAATTACACATGTGTATATACAGACGGATAACAAGAGAATGATACGATCACATACGCTATCGGAACTGAAAATACAAATATTAACAAGTAAATCTTCTCTAGTTGGGAGGGCCCGACTGGGGGATACCCTGAACTACCAGCCCAACAAGCTCCTATACGGATGAAATTTTCAACAGAAGATCCTTGATCTGGAGATACCTGATCAAGAAGCTATATGTCACATTTTGTGACTCTAGATCTAGAAATGTTCCATATGAATTCACGTTTTCACGTCTTAAACCCATAACTCGCAATTTTTTAAGCCCAACAACAAAATCATACTTCGCAAAATATATACCATCAATGACATCTTTTCTAAAAGATATTAATATTTACTCCTTTAAATATGTCCACCATAAACAAAACTTGTGCTCCTTTTTCTCTCAGTTAAGCTTTTAATGATATACTAAATTCCAAAGTTCATTCTTAAATTGTATTAGTTATAAGATAAGATGGACATATGTCTACATACCCAAATTCTGTGCATAGCCGGAGGTCTTAGCTTTGCCATAGTTGTAGCTAAACTATCCTATATATAAACAAATAAAACAAATAACTATATTAATTGAATAAAAACAATGTAAAGAATTGACGATAATTATTTGATTGAATGGATTTGTTGTATTTGTAATGAGGTTCTAACTTTTATTCTGAGCTACGAAACTTGTTTGACATTGCACCAGGAGATAAAAAGTAACATTTTTCCGATAAATATTTTGCATTATTTTACATATAAATTACGTTCGCGTGATTTCCTCAACTGACATTGGGCCTGATCAGTTAATAAGCATTGTCCGAGTCAACTATCGGCTACTTATGTCAAGCACCACAGTTAGCTAACCGATCAGTGGCAACGGATCGCGCTCCGAGCACAGTTCAAATTGGAAAACACGCAAAGTAACTGTTCTCAGGAAATCAAAGTGTACTACAATCAAATACTTAAAGCAACATTATGCATTGAATGAAAACTTAACAGTAAGTCGCTTTCCTAAGGTGGCAATGCGACGAAAAGAAATTTGAAATGGAACGAATCACTGGCTCTAAAAGTGACTAATTCAAAGACTAATTAATACTTAGTTCTTGGTTAAGTTGGTTAAAGATGATTGAAAGTGAATCGCAGCATTATTTACATACAAAAATTTCATGTGGGCTAATGTGGCGTATACGTGATTTAAATGCGATTATTAACCCAATATTAAATATACTCAATTATATTAAACAGCTTAGCTTTAATTATGAGATTAATATGCAAGTCGCTTTAAGCGCCAGAATGAAATGTAATACCTGTGTGAATAAATTGTACATTATTAGAGGTTTTTATGATGAATTAGCGTCAGTATAAATCTTATAAATTGAACCTATATTCCATTATAATGAATTTTAATTACAGGTATTATACAAAAATACCTGTATATGCGTCTTATACCAAATCTTATCAACATCGTACCACTATGTCATATAGCTGCCATATGAACGATCGGTCGTAAAGTAAGTTCCTATATGGCAAAATATGCCTTTTCCAAAGATAATTTTATCAAACTCAACATGCTTAAGGCAAATGTCTGCAAGTGTATCCTAGACGTGTCAAAGATATCCTTACCTTCCCGTTTATATAAGAAGAGGTATTATAGTATCTAATATTTATAGGACGAGTCAATATAGTCGAAGACTTGCCAGAAACTACAAGAGCTAGAGTTCCCGAGCTTGATATAAAAAATCAAAACTATTTGTTATATATATCAATTAACAACAAATTTTTTTTCTATATATATTAATGCGTATATTTAGTGGCTGTCTAGTCTAACCTAGACTGAATCTTGATTACTCTTACTTGTGCTATTTTTTCTGTGCGAAGGTGAAAAATTACAGGTTTTATGACAATTCGCAAACTAGTTTCCATCATATCAAATTCACTTTCAGCTTTTTGATATTGAACTTGAACTTGGCGTGCAATAAGCTTATTAATTAATTCACAATTCTATTATATTTGTTATATTTTTACTAGCTTGTTTATATTCTCTGGGCTAGTGGGTCAAGCGGATATTTCATTTGCAATTGATGCACTGAGCCGGGAACGATAGATCATTGTACATTTAATATAATAATAACATGTCTCGGTTATATTACTGCCTGATCTGGCTAGGCTTGCATGCAAATCTGATGCTCGCCGATATTCTCAAGTACGACCCAGTCATTATAGAAGATGCGCATCTGCGAACGGTAGGTATTGTTTACATTAAGTATTTTTTAATTATTAACAATAATTTAATATTGTTGCAGCCAGGACTTATCAGAAAGTATGGCTATCAGTTTGAAGAGCATAAGATTGATACCAAGGACGGTTTTCGATTGACGGCACATCGCATACCCAAGCCAGGTGCACAGCCTGTGCTGTTGGTGCACGGACTGGAGGACAGCTCGTCGGCCTGGATCTTGGCGGGACCTGGTCGGAGCTTGGGCTACCTGCTCAGTGATCGCGGCTACGATGTCTGGATGCTCAACACCAGGGGCAATCGCTATTCTCGCAAGCATCGCAAATACCATCCGCTGCACCGCCAGTTCTGGGACTTTTCATTCCATGAGCTCGGCATTTACGATCTGCCCGCGAGCATTGACTATGTGCTAGCCAACAGTAAGGGCTACGAGCAGCTGCACTATGTGGGCCACTCGCAGGGCACCACCTCCTTCTTTGTGCTGGGCGCCGAGCGACCCACCTATATGAAAAAGATCAAACTAATGCAGGCCCTTGCGCCCGTGGCCTATTTCAATAATGTGCCGCAGCCACTGCTCCGGGCTATTGCTCCCTATGTACCCGACATTTTGGTAAGTCTCACTTTATATACTTATATACATTTTTGTATAAATGAAACTATTTATTCTGACTAACTGGCTGGCTTGAAGATACTCTACTCTGTTGTTATAATTTTAAATGATGGCCTTTCTATATTTTATTTAAAAAGCCTGTTAAGAGCTTAAATAATTTTAAAATTTTCTGCAGCGCTTGTCTCAACTCTTTGGAATCTATGAATTTCCGCCAGAGAGGGAAGTGTGGCGCGAATTGAACTATAAGCTCTGCAGTTTTGCCTTTCGAAACACATGTACCTATCTTTTAATGCAATTAATGGGCGTGGACTTCGAACAATTAAATAGCACACTGGTGCCAATACTGCTGGGTCAATATCCGGCAGGCTCATCCGTCAAGTCATTCGGCCATTATTCTCAGCAGGTTAGCAGCGGCGGCTTCATCAAGTATGACTACGAGAATCCTTATATAAATAAAAGACGGTACGGCAGCGTCAAGCCACCAGCGTATAAGTTGGCCAACATTAACTGCAAAGTGGCCTTGTATTATGGCCAAAACGATTTTCTAACAGCTGTTAAGGATGTGCAGCGTTTGCGCGATGAGCTGCCAAATGTCGTTCATGATGAGAAAGTGGCCTACAAGAAATTTAATCATCTCGACTTTATAATTGCGAATGATGTGAAAGAGTTGCTCTACGAGAGCATGTTCCAGGTAATGGCAAGGGTCGACAAGGGTGAGCTTTAGTTCAAAAATTCAATATATCATCAATATAGCTCTTAGTTAGCCCTACGAAATAATTTGCCATATAAAATGATTTGAATATGTGAGCACACAGTATCGCTAGTCATTTGTAATTTGTTAAAGCTTATATATATATAAGTACATATTATATTTTGTATTCTTGTATGAGATTAACAATTTTTAACTCATTGTTTATAAATCCATCTTATCATATTTAGCTTGACTCATAGTTTGTTTATTCGTTTCTTTTCATCCTGCGAATAGTTACGCATTTGTTTTAATCTTTGTTTTAAATTTGAGTTAAGCCTATAAATTAAAAATGTAAATAATTTAATCATTTTCGTAGTTGTTTCCAAATCGATTCCAATTGAAGTAATTATTCTTACAATACATCCAAAATAATTTTATGAAATTATTTGGCAATTGCCATTGACTTGCACCTGTTTCATATATGTTAAAAACACGTTAAATTATGTGCACATATTCTATTTTTAGTCAAAAGTTAGAAAGAAGGAAAGAAACTTAAAAGGGGTATGAATATGCATAATTCTTAAGCATATAGCTTATATATATATATATATATATATATATTTTTTTTTTTTTTTAAATAATTAAGATTGGTCGCTTTAGGATTACCCCATAGAGTTAAAATTGTTGAACTTGGATAAAAAATCATATAGTATTTTAAATTCTTGAATTTCACAACCTTATATAACTATATATAACTGTGGGGAATATCTTGCCTGCAAAGCTGTATAAAGTAGACTTGGGCAGATTTGTTTGAACAACATGTACAGCTTATAAAGGAATTGTACAGGTGTTTTTTATTTAAGCATGCAATTTTATGTGTTCTATTTACTGTGTAGCCGATGAATAGACGATGTTATCTATAAGTGCGAACTTCAACTTAAGTATTGAAGCCATTGTATTACTCTGGCTATTAAATATGTTTTAAGCATGGACGAAGCTATTCAAAATCCGGTTTCGCCATAATTCGGCAATATGTTAACAATTTTCACATTGTGGCCATGTGTTGCAGTCAGCTGAGTGCAATTAAATGCGAGTATTTGCCCAGCGCCAGGTGAAGTGCTTGCCCAGCCACTTAAAACAGACACTCAATTGTACAAATATAACTATATATATATACATATATAATATATATATATATAACCATATATATATGGTCATACAAATACTTCTAAATGTATTTTAGCATAGCGCAAAATTATTGTAATTTTCTATGGCAGTGAGAGGCATTGAAATGGAAAATCTGATTAAATATTTAAATCGGACAGAGCCTGTGGCTTGCCAAAAGTACGAGTGGCTCCTCTCACATGTGCGTGTGTGTGTACAGGACGAAAAGCTCTCTATAACTGTGGAAAATTTATTGCAAGTATATTTTATTTAAATGCTTTCCATACTGACAATGGCAGTCGCCGGTCTGCAAGGGGTGCGGGCAATGCAAGAAATGTCCAGTGACAAATGCAAAAGCTGCCAAAAAATAACCCAACACAAAAATTGCATTGGCATGTGCGCGAGTGTGTGTACAAGTGTGTGTGTGTGTATGTGTGTGAGCTTGTGTTCTCGGCAACCACAAGAAAATAAAAGTGTCATTTTAAAAATGCAAACTTAATCATTTGCAGTCTGCATTTCGACCATAAAACCAAACAAAGCCAATGCCATGCGCCCAAACTCTTAATTGTTTTTCAAATAAAAACGTTACAAATTTGCACGAAAATTTATTTAAAGCATAACAAAACTGAAATCATTTGGCCGAATATTGTTTACTTTTTGCATAGTTTGGAGTCTATGAAAAGTTTATTGAGACCTATTTCGGTTCTGGTTAATCGTTCGATCAGACAGATATCGAAATATATTGTGCCTATAGTGAACTTTTTTTTAAATCGTGGAACATGGGTGGAATCGAGTTATCTTTGTCCCAATTAAGATGTCCTCTCGATGAGACGTTATTTTCTTATATAATTTCCGTTTTTTTTTCTTAACTACAAACTATCAAGCATATACAAATTATATCTTAACCGTTACAGAGTAAACTTAAATTGTGATCATGGTAAAATCACGTCTTCAACAAAAGCACATTTGAACCAATTTTCAGCAGAGCTTCAAGATGTCGGCTACAGGATGTTCGTTGTCATCGGCTCAACTCTTCATGCTGCTGTTTATTTGGTTTGTTGCTGCGATTGTTGCTGTTGTTGCGTGTGGCATAAAGTTCGTGTTGTTTTTGCGGTTAGGGTTGAGTCTTAGAACCAGAAACGAAATCAGGCAAGGAGCGTGAGGTACTCAGCACTGACATATCAATCATGTCACTTGACCAAGCGGAAATCGAGTTTTGTTTCGTGCTGACGCCTGTTAGGAACTTTCTCGCAAGTTTGCGTTTTGGAACCCTATCAACATCAACTTAAACATGCCCGAATATTGTTGTGAAATAAATTCGTTGAGCTCCTTTGGTCACCTATTGTTTGAGGCATTTACATGTTGGCCCCAACAGAGTTGTGCCTGCGCTCGATTTTTGAGTGGTCGGGCCGGGATGAAGAGTGTGGCGCCGTGAGTGTCGGGGTACGTAAGGTACCATTATGCCATGTCCTGCTGCACAGCAAGTGATAAAAGCGACACTCTGGCAACTAACTAGGATTTGATGCTCAAACAAAAGCCGCTTTCCAACCAGAAACCAGCAGCAGCAAAACCAATCGAAGTCAGTTCAAGACTTACGTTCGGATTTGCATTTGAATGAGAAATGGGAAGTGGGCAAGTTTGCAATTCGTTTTTTTTTTTTTGTATACCCTATACAAATATTAAAGTTGTGAAAGTGTGTTGATACATCCGTAGTTATATACACTCTCTACGCTTTGCTTCTTACCTAAGAGCTGAAGATATCGAACCTTCATGGTGGCATTTAATGAATGGAGTTAAAATAACAATTTCTAGTTGTGTGCGTACAGGGTATCTATGTGTCACGTACTCTCAAATTGAACGAATCTAGTTTGTTTTCTTTGTTGTTGTGGTTTAGCTCAAGTGCTTGTACGTATGGGGTTAGGGTTTTGTGGATCCTTTGTTTTCCCGATTCTTTGCTTGCGAGCACAACAACAACAACAACAGCAACAACAACATAAACAAAAACTACTAAAGTTTTGGCATATCAGCAGGCAACAATTGAAAGTTTGAAATGTTCTTTGTTTAATATCGTTCCGTTCATATACCATATTTTTGAGCATCGATTTAGTGCTTAAGAGTTTAGAAACTGGCTTACAGCGACGAGAGTCCACGGATTAGACTCTACTCATATTTATATTGAAAATGTTCATTAATTAAGGATTTCAGTGGGGAGCATATAAGTATTTAACTTAATTTATAAGGTTCGGCTCTTTTCCCAAGCTATACCCTACTTATAATAATAATAATAAGCTTGGAATTTAGGATTCCTTAATTAAATAGTATTAAAAGATATGTAATAGGTTTTGGGCTTAACAAATTTGGAATAGGTTTTACATATTTTTAGATTTATCTGTAGAATATGTATTAGTATTTATTCATACGAAGTATTCAAAATAAGTAAGACAGTATTAGTTTGAGCGTATGCCAAAAAGTATGCTATATTTAATAAATATTATATTATATTTTAATTACTAAATATAAAATTATATTCATTTAAAACTTTTTATACAAAATGCAATCAATTTTTTAAATAAATCATTTAATTGTATTTTTTGAGCATCAATTATGCTTGCTTTGCTAATAATATATATTTGTTGAATTATTCAAATAAGCATACGATAAACTGGGTTCGTACTTTTCTACTTCATCAAAGGAAGGAAACTATTTATGCCCTTTGTTTTCAGCTTGTATTTTATTATTATTTTTTAAAAATTTAAAGTTCAACGCACATCAATATTAATTGTGCTGTCTGACAAAGAAGTTTACCACAAGCTGGCACATCCTCCATAACTCCAATAATATCCGGCCAGGCTTCTGCCAACCCCCACATGACCGAGTAGTTGTCTGACTGCTGCGCATAAAGTATTTGATTTCATAATCAAAAGCGCAATTTGATTTGGCCACAATTTAATTAAAGCTCGACTGCAAAACACCCTAAAAATGCTAAACAAAAGCTCCACTTCTCCCAGCCTCTGCACTTAATTTTTACATGCCTAGTCCTTTCATTTCTATTCCCATATCATGCACTCTGGTATCTGGTTTTGCCGGACAGCTAAGGAAGACTCCTGTTGAGGGGGAACGTAGCCAAGGGTGTGTGTTTGTGGGCTGGAACATCTGCAGGCTTCACAGAGTTTTACATGCGGCTTGAGTACATCAAAATGTCTAAAATTTCATAATTGCAACTGGTTATACTTTGTGGCCGTGCCCCAAAGTGTGTTTTTGTTTGTTCCTTCGGCTGTGGATGCAACCAAATGCTGGGCATCTCATATGTCCAGGCCGCAAAACATTTAATTGCGTTCCTTTTTTCATTGTTATTATTATTTTATTATTCTTTTGTTTTTTGCATCTCAAATAAATATTTGTTGCATTGTGTGGGATTTGAAAGCGCTCTTCTACATATTTATTAAGCTGGTGTAAAAGAATAAAATATTAAAAATCCATGTATATATATAAAATATATATACAAAGTATATTTATAATTAAAGGAAATTAACTTATTCTAAAAATAATATTTGCATTTCTTTAATATTTCGTTTGCATTTCCTTGATATGTTTTCATTTATATTTCTTATAAATATCATTTCAATGTGTATTTAATGAATAAATCCTTAATTAGGAGACGAATCATTATATTGCTAGAATCCAGTTAGTTTGAGCAGCTATAGAAGTTGTTGACAACCAAAATGATTTCAAATTGTTTTAAATGTGAATGGAATATATGTATGGAATATATATAATAGTTCTCACCCCTGATACTGGTTAAAATCGTGCATGCTTAGTTATATAAATGCCAAAATATCGCCCACTTCAAATCTACTTGCAAAGGGCACACTCTGTTTGCCAAACAGCCCACAGGGTATACCCCATTGTGCAAAGAGCAACAGTGTGCGCTGCTCAGTTCAATTAGCTCGCTACTCGTCCCCAAGCTGCAGCCAGGTGGAGCATGTGGACTCCATCGATTGCCACAACATTGCAGCATATAGTATGCTGCAGCTTCTGAACGTGGACGTCATGTTAGCTGCTAATTGAAAATAATTTTAACTAACGATACAAAAAAATGGCGAGCGCTTCAACTGAAAAACTTAATGAAGAATCAAACCCAGTTTCTCTTATGCAGTGTGTGTGAGTCTGTGTGTGTGTGTGTGCATGTGTGTGTGTGTGAATGCTGTCAGAAGCCAAAAGGTGCAACGAAGCTGCAGTTGGGACAAGTGTTGCCTCGGTGCGGGGCAAGGCAGCTGCCAACGTGCAACGCATGTCAGCCAAGCAGCCAAGCGGAAGTGCTTAACACCAACACACGCCCACACGCACACCTGCACATATTTCTTGGTTTAATAACGGTAAAACGGAAACAAAAGCGTG